TGTGCAAAGAGCTTTAGAATTTTCAACAGATTGTTCGTGCGCATGGTAACATTGCGGCGGTTACCACTATTTTCATCGGTTACGAACGCTGTGTTAGCGCATAAAAACGATTTTTTATATATAAAAAAACTGCATTGTAATTACCACGCTTCTGTCCTCTCTCGTTTTTGTCAAAGGTTATTTCAAATGATTATAAATGGATGACATACAATATGCTTATATCTATTGTCTAAACAAAGATTTTCATATATATCAAAATGCAATCTTCGTCAAAGTTTCGAATCTTGCATTGGTACTAATTGTAAGCTCAACAAAATCTTTAAACTTTATTAAGCGTCACTCATAATCAGATTCCACAAATAAATTAAATAATCATAGATAAGGAAAATAATGTAAATAATATTCATTATTTGTGTTTTAAATTCATGCTAATAAATTCGTTCAATAATAAATTCCAAACATCAATAAATTTATGCAACGTAATACTATTTTTTGAATTTGATTTATGGCATATGCAATATATAAAATAATATAAATTTAGTTAATATTGTAAAATATAGTTAATATTTTTCAAATAATCTTAAATCACGATATGTATGCAAAACTATTCGTTATGAAAAATGAAAGACAATGTGAACAATCGTCTTGATAACTGTAAATATTAAAATATATTCAGAACGCTGTATTGCTACAAAACAATGCGAACAATCATTTAAACCAAACAGCTTTAATTATTCATTGTTTTCTTTTTGTCAACAGGAATTAATAACCGCAAATTCTGTTTGTTCTCCTAATTATACATTAAGTTAACTCATAATCAAATGCCTATGAACATACATTGCAATAATATATTTCATTGATTGTTTACGTATAGCATTTTTATGTATAGTATTTTTGAATGTTTATTAATTATAATATTCGTATATTTTAAAAGGTAATGTAATGCAATGCGTAATGGGCGTAGCAGTAAAACAATCAATAATTTTGTACGCTATTTGTAACATTCACGTCATTATAGTCTCGTCTGGACCTGCTCAGGTGAGACATATTCGTAGCAATTACAATATAAACTAGTGGTGTATGGCATCGTGCCTTAAAGCAAATTGCTGGAACCTCCCGCGCCGTAATGAAATACGATATGCAAAATTTCAAACTTGATTTTTCGACCTTTAACATTAACTTACCCTACGGCAAGTTAATAAATTTATATTTTATAGTAAAACCTCTACTAGTGCCAGTGCTGGATTTACACTAGGGGCAGTCGGGGCTACTGCCCAGGGCGGAAAATTTTCGGGGGCGGCAAAATTTGGATAGCAAAGAAAAAAATTCTATACAATGCAGTTACTAATTGTTTAAATAACATTTTTTTATTTCTAACAAAATATAATACGATTGCAATGCAAAACTTGGGTTCAAATAACCGATTATTAAAATTTATTATTGCTCTCCGAACGTAAATTATCAAATTGGTTAATAAGTCATTATCAAATTTGGCAATTTGATTAATATGAAAATTCGTAAACGAGCTGAAAGTTTAGGTAAAATATGTTCCTCAGATCTCGAACCCTCTTAAGCTGAAGAATTCGTGCACTTCCAAACTTATAGCGCCCAAAAAATTAGTGACGCATGGCATTGTGCCTTAAGGCAATGGAACTTTCCGTACTGAAAATTACATTCTATAAAAAGCTTTAACATTTTTTGAAAAATGTAAAAAATTGACTTTAAAAAACTTTTTTTTTATATTTTGATTTTTTTGAAAATTATGAACCTTTTTCAAAGCATTCAAATCAAAGCGCTGCATAGGTGTTTCAGAGACAAAATATCAAAACTCAAGTACCATTTTTAGAAACGGCTGGTCCTGCCTGTGCCAAAACTAATCAGCACGTCTCCCCATCAATACAAATATAATATTTTTTTAATTATTCAAGTCGATTTCGAGAACACGGATCAACCGATTTGATCCTATGATTGATTCGATTCCAATTGATAAGAAGACGTGTTGATTAGTTATTGGCCAAGGCAGGTCCAACTGTTTCGAAGATACGGGCCAGAATTCCAAAAATGATAATTCAGTTTTTGAGAAACGGAGCGTTCAATATCATTAACCAAATGTACACGTATTGACAAAATGAAGAACTGCTCAAATTTGTGAGAGGAAGGTCTAGCGGTTTCGGTGATTCAATAAAAAAATTGGAATTTGGCAGTTAAAAGTGATTATTAGACATATGCACTTTAAATCATCAGATATTTTGTAGATATTTGATAAGTATAAATTTTGTGTACATTTCTATGGGTTCTGTAACATTGTTTATCCGTTAGACTGCGGCGTTTACACGCTTCTATATTTTGTGTCTACGCAGCTGTAGCAGCGCGATTGCTTAAAAAGTTCAAAATTTTTAACATATTTTAAAATATAAAGAAACACAAAATTTTCAAAAAAGTCATTTTTTTTCAAAGTTTTCAAAAAATTTTTTTTTTAATTTTCGGTACGGGAAGTTGCAGCACGTTTTCTGCAATCAAATAGTTATTTTAATTTTAAAGAAATATAAAAACTATTTAAGTAAAATTTCAGGGATGGGGCGGCATTTTTGTCAGTGCCCCAGGGCGCCAAATTTCTAAATCCGGCCCTGACTAGTGCCGTATGAATCATTATTTATATCTATTTATTTCATCAAAGCTTAAAATTATATTTTAATTACATATTTTAATACAAGTTAATAATGTAATAATGTACAAATGATATTTGCAATTAATAACTGAAAATCTTGCCAAAAAATTATTTATTTCAAGAAGTGCATAAGTTAAAAAACTGATGTTAAATTTATTTAAGTTATCATGACAATCTACAACATTTCTCAATACGTTTATTAGCTGACAGCATAATATAAATAATGATGCACTATTCCCTAAATATGAAATATCAATAATGTTCTGAAAAAGTAAAAGCTCAAATCATTGATTCTCCACTTTTCAGTAATTCACCTTAAAATCTTGTCTACCCTGTCCAATCTTTACTATTTTATTTGATTTGCAACCGCTATGTTCCTGCCCGTTGCAATCGTCTTGTTCCGGCACATGTTTCTTGGCGGACAACGCCACTCGCTGAGCCCACACGGGCGCAAAGCGGGCATCCTCTGCGCGATCCAGGTTGAAAAGCGAACCACCGGACTCGAAAGTCGCAGGGGTACACTGATCGCGTGGTATGGAAATCTGAAATAATAATAAAATTCATAATATTGCTTCGGAGTAAGGGATGACCACGGTAATATTGTGACAATTTAAAAAAGCTTGAGATAATACTAGCGTAAAAAATGAGCACTTAAAATAGTTACCTTGCTTAATAATTTAGGATCTGGGAGTGCACCCTCTTGATGCCTTGCAGTATAACCGCCATTCATATCGACGCCAAACACTTTTGTAGGTTTCGGGTCGATTGTTTTTGGTTTTATAGAATCCGGCTCAAGTACATGTAGAGTGAAGTCTTTTCTGTTCAAGATACCTAGGATACAGCATATACATTAAATTGAGAAGAAATTTCTAACAATCAAAATTCGGTATTTTATAGTAATCGCAAATATATCGAAAATCAAAATTTTTGCATATCCGATATAAATAAGTTCCAAAGGTTTCTGAAAATTTTGGCATAAAAATGGATGTATACGACGAGAACACAGAATGGTTTAATAATGGGTGCAGATCATTGTGTCTTAAGGGGTTAGGGGTACTTGGAAGCACGAAAAAATGAGAATTTTCAGTATTTTTTTTGTTATTAAACGATATTTTTTACAAAAATAATAATACGGTATTATTATACAATGTTTTGACTTGAAGTATCAAAAATTTCAGAAAAAAAATAAAATATTCCCAAAGTTATAGCTGTTTTTGTTGACCCTGTTTCAAAAAACGATCTTGGCGGTGACCATCATAACTCCTTGGATCTAAAATCTAAAATCAATCAAATAAAAAAAAATAGTTTTATAGTTTCACACAATTTTCGCACAATTCCATGCACCACTAATTTATAAACTAAAACTGAAATGTTAAATTATTTAAATTTAACATTCATGATATTAAAAACTACTGTACTTGAATTTTAATCTAAAGAAGAGTCAACACTATTGATAACCATTTTAATCAACTAACTAGCTGTAAGTGGAATTCTGTCTTAAGGCAATTAAGGCATCGTGCCTTAAAGCAAATTGCAGGAACTTCCCGTACCAAAAATTATTATTTTTTTAAAAACGATTAACATTTTTTGAAAAAAATTTACTTAAAAAAAAATAAGATTTTTGAGAAACTATAAATTGGCACAAAAAACTACTACTTTTTGGAAAAAAAAATTAAAAAAAAAAAAATTGTTTTTGGCACTTTTTGCCCCATATCTTCGAAACGGCTAGTCCTGCCTCCGCCAAAAACTAATCAGCACGTCTCCTTATCAATACGAATCGAGTGTTTTTTGAATTATTCAAATTGCTTCATCTGTGTTCCCGAACATACATACACACACACGCACACATACATCCATTTTTTCTAAGGTATGCCAAAATGTTCAGAAACCTCTGAAACGTAAAGATATATAAAAATTTTCATTTTCGATTTTTTTGCGATTACTATAACTTACCCTACGGGAATTTAATAAATGAAAATGATAAAAAGGCATATTACAAATTTTATTATAAATTTTCATATGACTCTCTTATTTATAAATTTCTTATACAGGTTACATATAATGAAATAATTAATAATGATATATATTTTATATATATTCTGAAGCAAATTTATTTTAAATTTATATTTTTTTCGACATGTTTTCTGCGAATTGCATTTGACGATGGTTTAGTGGGCGATGGAATTATTGCTTTCTTTATCGGTTTGTAATGAAGAAGATATATACAAGGTTATTATGTTTAACGATAAGCGCGTAAGAAACATGATCTTGAAATATAAAACAATAGCTCTAATCTGTAATATATTTGAGTTGATTAGCAATTTCAAATTAAATTTTGGTTATTTTTTATTTAACAAGTATTAAAACTCACTATCTAATATTAATTATTTAGTTTTCTTGGATTTGTATTAATGATAGTTTATTCTTATCAAACGTCTTATAATGCTTTATGCTAATACTAAACAAAACTAGTGGGGTGGGTGGCATCGTGCCTTAAGGCAAATTGCTGGAACTTCCCGTACCGTAACGAAACGTTCGAGGAATATTGAATGTTTTCAAATAGATTATTATAAATATTGATTATTGTCTAATATTTATAATAATTATATAAACTGAATTGCAGAGTTGAAATTATTTGTTTAAAGTATATTAGAACTATAGTCAGAATTAAAAATAAAATCTGAATTATTTTCGATATACAAAAAATTTAAAAAAAAAAAAAAAAAAATCAATGGTACAAATTTTTTTTTCCAAAATCAATTATTTTGTTAAGACAAGCAGAAAGTTCTTTGAATCAATTGAATCGGACGCTTAGTTCTCTCAAAAACTGCCATTTTTTGTACATTTAGCTCTGTATCTCCGAAATGGCTGGGCCTGCCTTTGCGCAAAACTAATAACCCTTTCTCCCAATCATTACTAATGGAATGTTTTTCAGATCATTCAAATCGGATGCTCCGTTCTCTCAAAAACTCGATTTCTATTTTCTACACTCTTTGCTCCTTATCTCCGTAACTGCTGGACCTGTCTTTGCCAAAAACTAATCAGCTCTTCTCCTTATTAATAGGAATCGAATGTTTTTTAAACCATTCAAATCGGTTGATCCGTACGCCCGAAAACGTGGACGAAAATTTGTATCCATACATACATACACATACACACACACACACACACACACACACACACACACATCCATTTTTTCTGAGGTATGCCAAAACGTTCAGAAACCTTCAAAACGTCGAGAAATGTAAAAATTTTCAATTCCGATTTTCGGCCCATTACAATAACTTACCCTACGGAAAGTTAATAATTAGCATTTATTATTCTGAATAATTCTCCAGGCATAAGATAACCAATGGAAATAATTTTGAATTTAAGTATGAAAATATATTATTTATTAATATATTATTGGACCGTAATCGCTGGACCTTCCTTCCCAAACATATCTTCAAACATCAGTTTTTCATTTCGTCAGTCAATACAAATAAAACGTTTTTGAATTATTCAAATCGGACGCTCCGTCATCTAAAACACTGAATAACCGTTTTTGGAAATTTTTGCCCCGTATTGTAAAATCTAATCAGCACATCTCCTTATTGAATCGTTTTTTTTAATTATTTAAATCGGATGATCCGTGTTCCTGAATTCGTCGACGAAAATTTGTATCCGAACACACACACACATGCACACATGCATACATTTGTCTCTATGTTATGCCAAAATGTTCAGAAACGTAAAGATTTTTTTTTATTGTTTGAACAGCAATCAGAACTCTTATATGTTCTCTAAGCTGTTTGTTAAGGACTTACAACTACTTATGTATTTCATGAGAGGCAATCCATCGATTAACCATTCTCTTATGTGTGGGGTATTTTTGATATTAGCTCTGATATGATTGGATGTCACAGCTATGTCCACGAAGGACGATTTCCACTTGGAATTATATTGTGAGCTATAACCCCAAGCGGAAATTTGACATCAAAGCTGCCTGATGACGGGCTACGGCGGTAGCGGGAATCGAACCAGCGAACCCAGGACTAGTTGCTGCTAGCCCACGCTCTAACCGATATCGCCACCGCTAGCTCAAAAAATTTAAAGAATTTCCCTTACCGGGAATCGAACCCGAGCCTCCTGGGTGAAAGCCAGGTATCCCAGCCACTAAATCATGTGGGATATATCAGTATGCTATATCATTAGAAACGTGTAAAGATGAGTAAAAATTTTCATTTTCGATTTTTTGTGATCACTATAGCTTAACCTATGGAAAGTTAAAAATGTGAAACCTAATATTACATGCACGTATAAATTACCTGCAATATCATCATATTTTTCTTGGCCTTGACACTCCTGACCTTGCAAAAGGACCAAGATTTTAGAAGCGCCTTTTCTAAATTGTAGTCCCGAAGCGTACTCTAAGACGCGTACAATATTTATTCTTGTTGTGTCTTTGGTGTCCCCATAGGAGATTCTGAAAATAGATTCGCGAAATAAACAACATATATTTTAAAACATAAACCTATGATTCATTATGCATTTTTTATATCATCAATTTATTACTTCGTGAGTAATTCGGCGGCTGTTTGTGCACTGTTCCAAACATGGGCCAAAGAGGTCCGTGTGTAAGGGTCTTTCAATCCCATGTCGCCTCCCCAGCCGACAATTGCGTATCGATTGACAGTAGAATCAAGGTTTTTCAAAGTTAACAGGTCGTCTAAACCAATTCCTTTGTTAAGCAACGCCTTCTCCAGATCCAAAAGAAGTTGGGATAAGTCAACAAACTAAAAATAAGCAACTATAAGCAACTATATAAAAATAAGAAAAATGAATTATTATTTCAGATTAGGCTTAAAGCAATACTTTTTTTAACAATTCTACAAGTTCCGTAGTAAACTTATATACAATTTTAAGCAGTGGTGTTGTTCTAATATTTTTTTCACCGGAGCGCGTTCCGGTTTGTCTAAAAAAACGTTCTGGACTTCGATTCACGGTTCGAAAAAAGCCGGTTTTTTTCGATTTGTTTATAATGATACATATAAAAATTCGTCAAAAATTGAAAAAAAAAATCAATACGTCAGCTAATTTCGTTATCACAAATCATTGCGGTAAGCATTCCTGTCCAAAAAGGAAGTATAGGAACGACGTTGAACACCACTATGTTTGTAAATGAGAACGTGGTGAAATAAATGAAATCAGAAAAAATGTAATTCCTGATATATCCTATAGAAAATGTTTATATACATGAGTGTACTGAAATTGTCGGTATCTATTTTCTTAGTTCATACTATCTATAACATAAAGCTAATATTCGTATATCGAATCGTAATATTTAGTGGAAACGATTTTTAGCGTTATTACCGATCTCCAAATTAAAAGAAAGTAGACTTGACTTCATTAGGCGGAATATGTACGATTAAACCTTATAAAATTGTTGCCAAATCTTGATAATTATACATTTTCTTATAGCTTACTTTTTTCAATTTAAAATTAATTGATAAATGTACTTAACGTGTATTTTCACTCTGAATATTTAATATTAACTTTTTTACAGTTAAAAATAGGCTTATATCACTATATATATAAATATATATATATATATATATATATAAGCGTGTGCGTAAAAATAAACCTGACAGGTGTTGTAAAAATTAATTTCCAGATAACTAACTTGCTGCTTTATCTTTTAGAAATAATAAAGTGTCGTATATGATATGACCGAAAAAATTTACAATATTAGCGGCGTAAAATAGGAAAAATATAACAATGAATCTTAAGAAATATATTTACCGATAATGAATTGACTTCTTCAACTAAGAAAACTACATCAGCAGCGTTTACTGCTGTTAGGGAGTCTGACAGCATTTCCCCAGTTTTCCATCGACAAGATTCTACAAAATATAAAAAAAAATATATATTATAAAGAAGATTGTATATAATTATATAGTTATTTCGAAAGAGTTATTATATTCTATTATAAAGTGAAATATTTCATTTCATTTTATATTTCATTTATTCGGATATTTAAATCTGACTTCGGCTCAATAAAAATTCACTGAATATAAAATTAAATGGAATAGCAAAGAAATAGTTCAGAATCGAAAGAAATCTACAATAAACGTCATTCTACCAATAAACATGTATTTCCGATTTTCCGTTACGAAGACGAAATAAAATATAAAGTATATTTAAATTTGTAAATTAATATTGGTACATATGATGCATGCATGTATGTGTATGTACGTATATAGATCTATCATAATCCAAATAAATTAAAAACGTGATAGGAAATAAGATTAGAACTATTAAATTTTTAAGTTTTTTTGCTAGTTTATACATATAGAATCTATTTTTTAAGCTTTATTTTATTAATTGAGAACTTACTAATACTCAGATTAATTAATGATAATAAGTTAAACCACAAAAAGTATCAATTATACCATATTTTTCCAATGATAGTCCTTTGTCTCCAGATATTTCGCATATTGTTTTGTACGCTTGAGCCGACGCACAAACATCTTGATTATTCAAGCACATGCTATAATATGGTTTAGGGTCCACAATACCATAACATTTGGCCAAACTCGAATCTTGTGACTGTAGAATTTCATAACATGCCGTAGTGTTTGTTACGATTTCAATATTCTTGGTATCACTGGTCACTGAATTATTAGTCACGTCCGTGCTGCATTTATGCATTGTCTTATTGTAATTATTCTCAATGAAAACATCCCTAGATTCGTCTTCTTCTTTGCCCAATAGTCCAATGGTGTTTCCTCTTGACCATTGTTTTGATGTGAATACAGTAACGTCAGTCGTAAGATGCCAGTCCATAAAATAACGATTTCTATATTGTAATTTTAAGATTGAATGATCTCGATGTATAGTTAGCACGTCATCCATTAGGTATGGTAGGCTTCGTGGAATCTTATTTACGGAGATTTGGCCATTAATTTCAAGTTTTATTGTATTTCCATTTACTACAACTTGTACTGAATCCTTCACGATCTGCAATAAAATATATATCCTTTTTATTGATTATGTTTATTTTCTCATTTCTCTTTTAGTATTCTCTTATCAAATATATTAAAATATTAATTTGGTCAAAAAGTTATTTATTTTTTTTCTGACAAAATATACATATTTAATCCAACTGTATACTTAATTCGTAATAATTACATGTTGTAAGGCGTAGCAAAAATTAACCGATACATTAAACGCCCGAAACGGTTCATAATCATTCCAATAATTTTTACCCTAAACTGTTGAAAATAAAATTACTTTTCAAGCAGCCTTTTACATTTATTATATTTACCTTATTATTTTTCAGTGAATGCTCTACGAAAATAGCGAAGTTATCGTCAATGGAATCCGCTAAAACAAGATATTTGCAAGAATTAAGAATTTCAAGATATTCTCCCTGGAAAGTTATGTAACTGGAGGATCCCACCAGAAGGGCATACATTGGTGGAGGAACTCGTAACAAATCAGCATGAGATTCAAATCTTGAATATAACCATGGCCAATAAGCTTCGGTATTAAAATTGGGTCTTTCGCCTCTTCTTAAACGTTGTAAACTTTCTCTGAATGTTGTTGGTAGGTAAAATTGTGGTGTAACATTAAAACCTTCCCATTCAAATGGGAGATATTGAAATAATTCAATATGCCCCTTGTCTGGACGAAATATTGTGTTTCGAAAACCGTGGCAATTGAATGCGGCGATTTGACGAAACTGGATCATTTGTTCATATTCGAAAAGGTGTAAAAGTTCTACCGTGAGAAAATTGTATGATAAATTTAATATAGAAATCATGTCGTCTTTTAGGTATTTTAATGAGCCTTTTACACGTTCTGGTATATTATAGTAGTTCCAGGTCCATATTATCTGCAAAATTAATTATAAAAATAGCAATGTAAGACTTAATTAATTCATTAAATTTATACCTTTTGTATAACCATATTCGTTTCATTCTGTAACAAATGCATCTCGGTTCTATTATACTGGTATGGAGTTTCTCCTATTATAGCTTCTACAGCAACGTTGCAATAGCTTGAATATAAATCTAACAGTCTCTAAAATTTAAAATAAATAATAAACAGAGATAAAATAAAATTTAACGTATAAAAAATTAACATAAATTTTAATATTCATTCGTCATGGTTATTTAATTAATAGACACTTTATCATTAGATTTATTTATTATTATGATTATTATATAACCTGGAAATCAGCCGTGACAATATCACATATTTCAGTCAAATAATCTAGGGTTGATTGCACATCATATTGAGAAAAGTGGTTTTTGATATAACTCGTGGCATCTACAATTGTATCGATTAGTATTCGCAACTCTTGTATTGAGTAAATATAATTTTGAACTTCTTGCAACCAATCTGTAATAATAAATAATTAATAGTAATAAATAAAAAGTATACAGATATACGGCAGTTATATTTTAAAATATGTTTAATTAATCAGATGAAAATAAACTCAATTTTCACGTAACAGAATGTAACAGCAACTCACGTCAAAAGCATATTTTTATCTTAATTTTTTTAACTTCCCGTAGGGTAAGTTATTGTAATGGGCCGCAAATCGAAATTGAAAATTTTTACATTTCTCGGCGTTTTGAAGGTTTCTGAACATTTTGGCATACCTCAGAAAAAATGGATGTGTGCGTGTGTGTGTGTGTATGTATGTATGTATGGATACAAATTTCCAGTCACGTTTTAGGGCGCACGGATCAACCGATTTGAATGGTTCAAAAAACATTCGATTCCTATTGATAGGGAAAAGAGCTGATTAGTTTTTGGAAAAGGCAGGTCCAGCCGTTTCGGAGATACGGAGCAAAGAGTGCAGAAAATAGAAATCGAATTTTTGAGAGAACGGAGTATCCGATTTGAATGATCTAAAAAACATTCAATTAGTAATGATTGGGAGAAGTGTTTATTAGTTTTTGGCAAAGGCAGGCCCAGCCATTTTGAAGATACGGAGCTAAATATGTAAAAAATGGCAGTTTTTGAGAGAACTAAGCGTCCGATTTAAATGATTCAAAGAACTTTCTGCTTGTCTTAACAAAATAATTGATTTTGGAAAAAAAAAATTGTTCCAATTTTTTTTTTTTTTTTTTTAGTTTTTTTGTATATCGAAAATATTTCAGATTTTATTTTAAATTCTGACTATAGTTCTAATATACTTTACAAATAATTTCAACTCTGCAATTCAGTTTATATAATTCTTATAAATATTAGACAATGTTACAATATTCAAAATAATCTATTTGAAAACATTCAGTATTCCTCGAACATTTCGTTACGGTACGGGAAGTTCCAGCAATTTGCCTTAAGGCACGATGCCATAATTGCCTCAAGACAGAATTCCACTTACAGCTAGTTTTAATTTAAATCCATGTGTTTGTGTAATTATATAATTTGTATATTGAATATTGTAATTATAAAATACGTTTCAACTTATCGGTTATTAACTTCCCGAAGTAGAAGTTTATGTTTTCATCAAAAAATCCGAATAGCTAATTTTATGTTTTCTCGACGTTTCAAGCCATTCTGAATCGAAAGAGACCAAATTTGGAAAAAGTATGTGTGTGTGTGAAAAGATTTTTTGCCGTAAATCGAAGTTTTCTCAAAAACGGCCAGACCGATTTCAAAAATTTAAAAGCCATTCAATGTATCTCGATGAGGACTAGCGTTTCCAAGATTTGTGCGACGATCGGCCGAGCCGTTTCTTTGTAAATCGCAGACAAGTAAAAAAATTTTCGTACACGTTTTAGCCCGCAATTCTGAATCGATTTTGAAAATTTAAAAAATTGTTCGAAACATATTGGTTGGGAATCGACCTGATTAGTTTTTGGTAAAGATCGGTCGGGCCGTTTTCTTGTAATAAGGTGTTAAAGAAATTTTTTTCGACGATTTTCATGATTTTTTTTGACGGTAGATACCATAGTCTTATAGATCATACTAGAATATTACGGTCCTAAGACAAGTCGTTTAATTTTAAAAATAGTCAAAGTTTTCAAAAATTAGTGTCGTTTTGTTGGCGTTTGTCAAAATAATAATATTCTTCGACGATTACTTAAAAACGCCTGAACCGATTTCAAAAATTTAAAAGCCAATCGATGTATTTTGATGTGGATTATTTTTCCTCAGTTTTGTGCAGCAATCGGCCAAGCTATTTCTTTGTAATTTGGAAAAAAGTGTTAAACTTTTCGTCCACATTTAAGTTCATACTATCGAATCGATTTTCAAAAATGAAAAACTGTTCGAAACATATATTTGGGAATGATACTGATTAGTTTTAGTTGAAAATCTATCGAGCCATTTTCTCATGATTAACTGTTGAAAAAAAAATTATGCCGATTTTTATGGAACTTTTTTTGGCAAAATATATCCTGGCCTTATAGAACGTACTGAAATATTACGGCCTTACGACAAGTAGTTTAATTTTAAAAATTCATCAAAGTTTGGGAAAATATAAGTAGTTTTTTTGACATTTGTTAAAATTAAAATTAGGCGTTTTACTTGGTATAACAATGGAGTATTTGTTCGTTTTCGGAAGATTTGTTTTTGGAAGTTTGTGATATTTTAATATTCAAAACAAATGGGTTTAAAATAAATAAATAATAATAGTTAAAGTTCTCAACAGCTATAAAACAATTTGACTTATAAAATTGTAATGTTTCTTCTCATTCTCACATTAATTAATTATACATTTTTCATATAAATTACAATAAATATATTTTTAAACTAGCTGTAAGTGGAATTCTGTCTTGAGGCAATTATGGCATCGTGCCTTAAGGCAAATTGCTGGAACTTCCCGTACCGTAACGAAATGTTCGTGGAATACTGAATGTTTTCAAAATAGATTATTAAAATATTGTAACATTGTCAAATATTTATAAGAATTATATAATCTGAATTGCAGAGTTGAAATTATTTGTAAAGTATATTAGCACTATAGTCAGAATTAAAAATAAAATCTGAAATATTTTCGATATACAAAAAACTGAAAAAAAAAAAAAAAATTGGAACAAAATTTTTTTTCCAAAATCAATTATTTTGTTAAGACAAACAGAAAGTTCTTTGAATCATTTAAATCGGACGCTTAGTTCTCTCAGAAATTGCCATTTTTTACATATTTAGCTCCGTATCTTCAAAATGGCTGGGCCTGCTTTTGCCAAAAACTAGTAAACACTTCTCCCAATCATTACTAATTGAATGTTTTTTAGATCATTCAAATCGGATACTCTCCGTTCTCTCAAAAATTCGATTTTTATTTTCTGCACTCTTTGTTCCGTATCTCCGAAACGGCTGGACCCGCCTTTGCCAAAAACTAAACAGCTCTTTTCCCTATCAATAGGAATCGAATGTTTTTGAACCATTCAAATCGGTTGATCCGTACGCCCGAAAACGTGGGCGAAAATTTGTATCCATACATACATACACACACACACACACACACACACACACACACATCCATTTTTTCTGAGGTATGCCAAAACGTTCAGAAACCTTCAAAACGTCGAGAAATGTAAAAATTTTCAATTCCGATTTTCGGCCCATTACAATAACTTACCCTACGGGAAGTTAACAAGGGAATAAACATTGTTACTTTTTTTATTATATACTAATAAATAACCGTCTTAAAATATATCAAGATACAAAGATTAAAAATTTAAAATCAAAAGAAAACTTGAAAATCTTTTCGGTATTTAAAAATAATCGACTTAATTAATAAGAATTGAGATTCAGCTATTCAAACTTTGTGACGACAAAAACTATTGCAAACTTTAATAAATTTTTATGATTAAACTACTTCGTTATTAGGACCATAAGGTCTTTTATCATACTAAGTTTCAATCCTCAATTATTTCAACAAACTAACTACGATTCCCAGCTGACATCTTTCAAAAAGATTAAAAGTTTTCCAAATCGGTTCAGAATTTGTGACAAAAACCTGGACGAAAAATATTTCACTAATACTAAAATTATTTGATTAATACTAAAAAAATACAACGAGAAATCTTATGCAGTTTCACCAAATAGCTTTTAAAATTGTTGCACCGCTTTTGAGAAACGTTGCCGAGAAGCATAATTTTCTCACATACAAATGCAATCGTTAACGCACATACATATGTATACTTTTGCCGAAAAATCGTAAAATTCAGTAAATTGAAGTTTCTAGCGAAAATATAAACTTCTCCTTCGGGATGTTAAAAAGATAAAAACGAGGGTTGTCTTACACTATGGGTTTGCTTTCGCAAAAACAATAATTTTATTAATCTAAACTAGAAAGTTAAAGTGGTTTATCTTGGGGCACAATGTCATACACAATTAACCCTTAGCGGTCGCTAGCTTCTCATACGTAATTCCCGTTAGGTCGTAGCTGGTCTCGGAAAATATGCGAAATCTCTTTTAATTAAAAAAATGTATTAGATACTTTTTTACATATATTATACTTATTTTTTATACAGTTTTCGAAATTTTCCTAGCTATCATCACCATCGAAAATTTTTTTATTTTCCTTTTTCTTAATAAAGCTTGGTTTGGTCGTTGTCACTTACTATGTGACTTACGACCGCAGCGTCAAAGTATTGTTTTCCGACCGATAAGGGTTAATTACACAGGACCACAAAAAATGGTACGTGTTGGATATGAGGCATATGTTTTCCAATGTAGTTTTTACCGCTGAACACAAATCTAAAGCCAAAATTGTAGGTCAAATAGCAAAAAATTAGAAAAGAAGAGAAAAACGACAAAGCCTGCGATCTAGCAGCTCTTTTACATGATAATTAAAGTCTTATAAGAACTTAGTAGATCAGTGATTCCCAACCTTTTTTGGGCCCCGCCCCATGTTGAGGTTTATAAAACGTTATGCCCCCCCCATACAATTTTTTTTCTCCCAGAAAAAATGTGAATGATAACGTTTAAGATGAAATCGTTATTAAATTGTTATTAAACATCATAAGTAAAATTTCGGAATAAGCCAACTTACGGAAATTCCACTAATTTTATTACTGTTTTTTCGATATTTATTTAATGGAATACTTAAGCTAAAACAGAGATTTTATATTAGGTTCTAATCTAAGCTTTTTTTCAATAAATTATAGCAAATTTTTGTACATATGATAACATTTGGGCATTTGGTTTCAGTTTCTTCATAAGGCCATTTCTTAACGAATCTACTTGACATTTTCTTAACTCAGAACGGAATTGTATCTTAATTTTATATATTTTTTGTTAAATCTTTTTTAGTTATCAGATTGGAAACTAAGTAAATGCGCATATTTTTCTAGAAATTGATAGTTATCGTTGGCAACTAAGTAAGTGCGCATTTTAGTTAGAAAATCAAATACAATTTTTGCGTGGAATTAAATAACTTTGTTATGTATATCAGTTTGATCGATGGCCTTTTGTTATTTTCCAAGAAGTATCATTATCCCAAGTTTATGAAACTTCTAGCTTTTATTAGAAAAAACTAAATTAGACACAATTTGACACCATCATGATTTTTTTTTTAAATTCAAGGGTTTAAAACAGATGGTTTGTGGTCAGGAATATTTGGTGGATGTGGAGAAAATTTTTCACCAACCCCCAATAATTTTTAAAAATAGCCAAATTGTTTCTATTAGCCCAATCGATTATTGCTTTAATTAGTTTGTCCAAAACTTAACCTGACAATCAGAGCAGCATTGAGTGGAAAATTACCAGAATGACATTTTCAAAACCAATTTTAACATAGCTGTTTTTAAGGCTTCGACACCATAAACAGCACCTATTCTTTGGGATGATCGTTTAACCATTTGCAGAAATAAAAATTCAAATTTGACTAAAATGTTTGTTTTGATATTCCATCTTTCAACAAACACTCTATATAACCGATCAAAAAGTTAAAGCTAAATTTCTTACTATACATTACTACCTAAACCTCAACAATCCTAAAGAATCATTTGAAGCAATCTAACAATAAAAGTAGCTTAGTGTCAACCTTGTACTATTTAAGGATACAATAAAAATTAGTTTATTTTAAATTAATTCCATCTTTAGCCAAAGTTACTGACAGTGAGTAAAAAACTCACATCATATTTACTTTTCTTGTGCATATTTCAAGTCGAGTCTTGTCACTGACCTTAAAGCATTTATGCCAAGCAGTCAGAAACTCGATTTACATATTTTTTGGTAATTTTCGTAAATTGGAATATAGAAGTTTAAAATAATTAGTGAAGGGCTACTGGAACCCAAAGAATTGTTGCATCCCGCAATATTCTCTTTCATATTGTTGTTTTCAGATTTATATAAAGTTTATGGCATATATCATTTTCAGATTATAATGGGTAGTTGTAATTTTATTATAAAGTAATGAGAAAAAGTCAAGTCAACAGGAAGAACATAACTCCGGCACAAGGAAAGCAAGGTTGAAAACTAAAACCGTCGCGGCCAAACCGGGACACCTTATTATTCTAAATCTAAGAATCATTTTTTTTGTTAAATGTTTTACCGATGCTATACTACATTACATTAAAATCACTAAAATTTCAAATTGCCCCCCGGTGGGGCGTGCGCCCCACGTTGGGAAAAACTGTAGTTGATCATTTAATTGAAACTCAATAAGGTCATTTAAGGTAAAGAGGACCAGAAAATGACAACAATTATAAAATTTTATTTATCATGGAGAAGAATTGCTATAATGGAGATTTTGTCATATTTTATGTTTTTTTCAATTTTTTGCCATTTGACTACTAATTTTGAATTTAGATTCGTGTTCAGCGTTAAAAACTACAGTAGAAAACATATGCCGCACACACCAATACAAACAACTTTTTTATGGACCTGTGTTTTTGATATATTATGACAAAATTATCCCTAACTAAAGTAATAGCTTATGTCTTAATATATTATTTATATATAATATAATATATATATATATATATATATATATAATATATATATATATATATATATATATATATATATATATATCTTCTATATATATAAAAATAAGTCAGGTTTTTCTTCCTGACGAAATAACTCCAGAACGCACGAACCGATTTCGACAATTTTGCATTCGTTGGAAAGGTCTCGGGTTCCGCAAGGTTATAGCTAAGAAAAGTGGTGCATGGCATCGTGCCCTACTGCAAATTGCTGGAACTTCATGCACCGTAGTTAAAAATTCGAGTAATGACATTAGTGAGAATTATCAGAATTATGCTTGGTTAAGTCAACGAGCAATTCTTGCCGCAAAGAATAATGATGTACACGCACTGAATTTCACCGTTCAGTCAAAAATTGCTGGCGATATGGTGACATACCAATGATTCCGACTGGTCTTCCGTTTGACTTCAAACGATTGCAATTTCCAGTTTGCCTTGCGTTCGCAATAACAAGTCGCAAGGCCAATCGCTTAGTGTTTGCGGGATAAATTTCAAATAGATTATTTAAAAAATCATTGTTTTGCACATGGGCAGTTATACGTTGCCTGTTCACGAGTTGGAAAATCATCCGCTTTGTTTGTGTTAACGTCAGACCAAACAACAAAAAATGTGGTTTACCAAAGAGCACTTCAATGAGACGGATAATTTGCGGATTCACTTTCATTTACTTAGAAAAGTTCAACTAAAAAACACTTCATTTTTGTAATCGAAATAAATTCATTAGTGTTGTATAAGATCAGATTTTTCCTTATCAATTATAAAACAAACAAAAAATTTCTTCATCTTTCTCACGAGACCATCTGGTGGCGAAACTAAGTTCGTCGGGTTTGCTAGTATATATATATATATATATATATAAAACATATATATATATATATATATATTATATATATATATATAATACATATATATTATATATAATATATTAATTAATTTTCTTTACTTATAAATTCTGTTTTCGCATCAAGAATAGTCGTCTCCACCCCTTGCCCGATGTTCAGGAGCATTCGGATGGTCGGCTCGAAAATGCTTCTAACTTTCGCCTTTGTCCTGCGCCAGAGGTCTTCGAATGCGTCGAGCAAACCAGTAGTACGAGTGCCCAGAGATGACAGTAGCGATTTAATTTTATTTATGTTAAGCGTTACAGCATTTTTGAAATATGTTTTCAGGCTGGCAATATCCTTGTGCAAATCCATAATTTTTTCCAACGACGAATCACGTACTTGTAACAACTTGGTTTGAAGATAATTGTAATACTCAGGACACGATTTGATTTTTATCCATAAAATATTTATACATCTGTCTAGGTCAGTAATAAATCCAAACGATGGCAATTTAATTATATTTGTGCTAAAATTAAATAGAAATATATATTTAAAATGTAAAAGTAAGAGAAAAACAAAATGGAAAATAGGCCTCGGAAAAAATAAAATGCTTGAGTTGTTTTATTAATTAAAAATAATACGAATGTACAAAGATTAGTCAAAAATTTATGAAATGAATTAGTAATCACCAGTTGGCTAAACAATTACTTTTAATTTTTTTTCCAATTGCAAATAGACACAGCCATATTTTAAACAATTTCAATAGAAAAATTTTAATCTATTTTTAATCTTTTTTTATATTGTTCGTACCATAGAATATTGTTTTTTACATTTAAAAGCAAGTTATAGATTATCTTTAATAATTTTTAGTTTTTAAAAATATTTATAATTTATTTTTCTATTTATAAAAATAGAAAAATAAATTATTATATGTCATAATATAATAATCATAATATTATTACAATATAATAAATGATTGCTTTTCTATTCTTTAAAAAAAAGAACATATTTGAAACTTAAAACACCTAAAAGAGATAAAAGTTGGAACTTACGCAGTTTTATTTATGTAGTCCGCAATAGTTCGTGCATACAAATGGTTTTCTTGATACATATCATTTAATATGCCTATCGAAGATTCGTAGTACAGTTTCAAAAATGATATTTCAAAGTCTGCAGTAAGATTAGAAGTTACTGAATTTATATCCCTGTACAACTTTTCACCAGCATTATCTGGTATCATACAAACAAAACTTTGTCCAATATTTTCAACAATGTATTGTAAGTCATCATACTCATTCAATATATTATCTCTGATTTCCTTCCATATTCCTGTCTTCCAGTGAATTTTAGTCCAAATCAGAGTTGTCGTATTCAAGCGTAGATTAAAAGAAGCATCTTTCGACAATGATCCATATAAATCATGTTCTAAATAAGCTACGATCTCTTTATTGGAAGGTATAGCTCCAAAAATATTATAACTTTTGCTGGGCCCAGCAACGATGTTGAAATTTATGGAAGGATCATTCTGTCCCGAATTTAAACTTGCTTTAAATACAAGTGGTAAGTTTTCGTTTGAGACTGCTTGCATGATCAAACCTCTCGTGTTGTTTTCAGACCACGTTGAAAAAATTCCTGAAAGTTTATTTAAATCATTTTCTAAGAAACCTTCTATCATCGGTTTATTTCTGTGAATTCTCCCTAGTAATCTGATGAAATTTTGAGTATCATCTTGCGGATTATCGTATTTTAAATTGAGATAATATTCTGTGATTTCTTCCGTTTAAAGTTGCATTAACAACAAAACCATGAAAGATATTACTGGAAAGATGACTTATTTCCAACCCAGATTCAAACGATTTTTCGTTCTCTATACTTTCTACATGATAATAATCAATTACTAATAAATCTCGTGGATCTGTAGAATATTCCAACTCAAACATTAAAGAAGATGGATGTTTTATGCTTTCTAATTTCTTACTTCGTTTTAGGCGAGCTTCAATTCTGTGGTTCAATTTAGGATGTAATATGCCCAGTTTGATTTGATCTTTATTTGAAAATGAGTAAAGTGTTATATTATTTTGCAAATCATTCAAGGCATCCCAAATATTATATGCTTATCGTGAACTTCTATTTCTCTATTTTCTAGCAAAATTTCGTGTGTATTGATTATTTTAATGTCGTTCAAGTATTTTACAGCTTTGTTTGGAAATAATATACATACACTGAAATTTGAATGTAGTATGATTTGTCTAAATTTGAGTGACTTTTGTACGAGGTGTCAAATCCAAAGAACGTTTGGTTGATCCAAAATATTGAACCAGAAGATGACAGGGAAGTTTTTTTATCTGTGTTATTATCAATCTCGTTATTTGATGTGACATCGTAGTCAAATGACAGTTTTAATTTCGGTATAGCAACATAACTTGAAAAACTGTTTCTCGAAATAACAAATTTGAAACCAGTCTGAGCATTTATTCTATTTCTTAAATCCCAGCAAATAAGGGCGTGGATATTTTTGTGATTAGATTTTAATATATAAGAGTATGATAACAACATCGATCTCCATATATATTAGTTTCAAAAATTGCTGAACTGTTGTCAATAATTAATTTTGCGGAAATATATCTTCGAGAATTATGTGTAGGTCTGTTGCCATTTCATAATTTTGTTTGCTGAACTGTAAATTAATTAACTGTGATATCTTATTTTGGTTTTTCTCGATATTTATATATTGTAAATCAATAAAGTATTTATCGTAGTATTCAAAAGGAGTCAAAAGTTGTATTTCTGTTAGAAACTACATTTTTCATATAAATAAAAGAATATTTCAATTCCATTTTCAGATCATTTACTATCAAATAGTTTGAAACTGACCGGCAGCCTAATTCTCGTGAGCAAGAATTAAAGTGTAGACGAATTTTCTTAAAATTCTCCATAGGCGTGTCCAAGGATAATTCCAATAACGTACAGGATCAGTTTTGACTGTTACAAATCCTAACAATCTAGAATAACCAGCTCTAGCCCCTCCGCCTACATTTAGCAATTCTGGTGTATTAATGTAAGTCCACATATAAAAGTAATTCTTTGTCGAATGTGACATGTTTAATGCTAATTATAGGCGTAAAATTATTTGTTAATTTAAAAGGTACTATTAGTTTGGATAAAATCTTTTGCTGGATGTCATTTGGAAAATGTAATATAAATTCTGAATTGGCCTTAAATTGATCACTTGTTAAATTGAAATTACCAAAAATCACGTGTTCTCCAAATGCAGAAGATGTTATTGAGATTTAAGATCACCTGCTGAGTAATCCATTTCCGACATAATCTTTATATTTAAGTAATATTTTTTCAGGTAGTAACATGATGGTGCCAAAACCAACACATCTATTCTTCCTTCAAATAAATTAATATTGGATGTGAAATTCATAAACTTATTTAATCCAAAATGTCCATTTCGAATATAAGCCACATATTCTGATCATGCTGCTCTGACGCTCCCAGATGTAATTCTTTATTTGGCAAATAATCGCTTATGAGAACCAATTCAATTGATGATATTTTACCCAGCAAAAATCATTTTACTGTTATCAACTGTTATCGAGATTTAGATGACCAGCTAAATTTATTTTACCAGAATTTAAGGATATATTTAAAAGCGAAGCCTTTTCCTTACTTCTTGCTATAAAATTAATTAAAGCTATCTTTGATGGTAAGATTGGTGATTCCATACGAATCTGATGATTATCAAATGTTTTAGTATAAGTGCAATTATGAATGGATTTTTCATACTTCAATAACACTACGCCATCATCCTTTTTAAATGAGGCATTAAATAGTAGTTTATTTTTGTACTGGAAATATATGGCATTTAACCGTTCTTGTAGCTTAAAGTGGAATATATTATTGTGTGAAACTTCATAACGTGTTCTATATTCAGGGCCTTTCAATTTTATTTCCATCACATAACTTTTTGGTTTATTACTATTTAGATCAGTTGTAATTATTTCTATCTGCAGTTTTCCTGAACTTCTCCAGTAGTTAATAGAATGATTAAATTTATAGTTATTCCCTTCTGAACGTAATTCCATAAAAATTTGATCATTGGACATATTTAGATTTGCATTAAGTGCTGTGCTCGATATAAAATTCCAATTTGGTAATTTAATAAATAAGTTTGAATTCAGTGATTCATCTTTGAAAACATAACTTCCATTGAACACATCTTCAATCATAGCAACTTGGAATTCAAGCTTATTTTCTTAAATGATCCGTGTAAATCCAATAACAAATCTGTTTTTAGAGCATTGTTTTTGATAGTAACTGATAATTTGTTATCTTGCATATTAAGAATGGCTTCTAATTCATACGTGTTAATGTACTTAAGAAAAATTTTACACGATACAGGTTTAAATCCTCTATCAATCAAATCAATATTAATCGCAATAGGATTTTGGAATAAAATTGGTATATCGATAAGAGTCTGGCTAACATATTTTCCAAACGCTGGTTCGGTCGATAATGAAGATGATATGGAAACGAATTGTTGCATACAAATTCCCATTATTTGAAATTTCTTTTTTGAAAGTTCATTATGCAATTGTACATATAATTCGGTTTTCCATTCCTTCTTCAATGGTGCATCCGCGATCAAAGAGACTGCAATGTGTTCAGTTTGTGTTTGATCTACTCTTAGGTTTAAAGCAATACCATGCAAAGCTTTCACTGACGACTGCGTACCAAAATTTATATCAAACAAATCATTGGTTTTAGTAATCAATGAGTTCATATTATAAAAAAAATCACCAAATTGCATGTTGAGCAATATCATACTCGGTATGTTATCCTTTATTTGTAAACTTCCCATAAAATTAATGATATTATCGTTCCAGTTTCCATTTACAGTCAAACTATACATTTCTTTATTCATTATATTTAATGATCCGTCTATGTTGATAACTTTGGCCTTTTCGTTTGGTGATTCTACTGCGAAATGCACTTGATCGGGTTTAAAATGGAACTCAAGGGATATACTATTACCATCGCTCCAATGAGTAATTGCGCTCCCTTTCAAATTCTTTTGGTCAACTTTACAAATAACATTAAAATTGGGAACTTCTCCATTATTATCGGAACTCTGGTGGTCAGCACTGATATCGCAAATGAGTTCAGTAGCGTGCTTGTTCGTTATATATTTCATATAAAAATTTCTATAGTTTTGTTGATTTACTACTAAAGTAAAATTAGAAAATCCATCCATGTGTGATTCTAAGTTTCCGTTCAAACTGGTGTCGTTCATGTGACCAGACATCATAACCAAAGTGTTACCCTTAGATGAAATGTCCATAATGAATAATTTGTTAGAGGCAGAGATATCATAATTAATTTTGAACATAAAAGGCTCAGTTACAGGAGTCTGCATAGAAATAATTGCATTCAAATTATTCAAGGATGGACGCACTTCTGCCTTTAATGTCACGTTGTCAAATCTGTTGTGTATCTGCCAAATCAGGACACCATCAAACAAGAAATTGTTGTCGATCGATAACACATTTTGATATGTGATATTTTTTATATTGTTCAAGGGCATTTCGAGATTCAAATTTACAAAATATATATTTTTACTATGCTTGATATCGCTATTTAAAACTACTTCATTGTTCATAAATGTCGAGTCAAGAGTTATATATTCGTTGCCAGGTTCCATGCTCCATTCAGATTCTACAACACTTTTTACTTTGCGCACGTCAAACAATACGCGGAATTTCATTCCGTAGAAGTTTGGCCGCAGTGATATCATGCAAGTGTTTTTCTCTTTATTAATCGAAAATTCAACGCCTATCTGTTGTTCTTCGGCATTCTTCTTTATGTACCATAAAATACTTTTTCTGTTCTGCAAATGCATTTTATAATAATTAGTAAGAGTTATGACGCCTTCTCTTTTCGACAGATTACTTTTCAATTTGTAAACTCTGTCCGGTATCTCGAGATTTAAATTTATTCTTTCATCATTTGCATCAGTCACGTCGTAGTCACCTCTAATATTCAGATGTACATTCTGCACGTTCAAAATAAAATTAGCATCTCCTAAATATTCTTTGAGATTGATTTGGTATTTTGCTGTACATGTGTACTGGTTGAATAAATCTATAGCCAATGACCCGATTGAATCTTGTACTTTTACATGTTTGAGTTTTCCAGAAATTTTAAACAATTCGATAAATGGGTTTCGTGAATTCAGAATGATATCGACTTGAAAATCGTTTTCCTCTTGTATAAGATCTATTTTGAAATTATAGATTTTTTATTGACTTCTACATCGACAGCAAAATTGTGAAACATATGATAACGTAAATCGATATCAATCGATGACAGAACTTGAAGTGGTGTAATTAATTGAAAAGCAATTCGTCCACGGTCGTAGTTATTATGTTTGTTAGATAAGCTTAATTTTGATTCAAAAATGGCATAAGACCACCTTGTATGGAACAAGTAGAGACGTTTATCAGCATCTATCTTTCGATGCATCAACAACTTCATATTTTTAACATTTGAATGAGATGTATCCAAACTTGCCTCTATATTATCATTGTTTAAAATCCAATTAAAATGTACATAATCTTCTTGAGATTGCTTGCAGCTAATTCCGATATTACCTTGGTCACCATTAGAACTGATTTTTATTTTTCCTTGTATATTTTTCTCAATATTATACATTTTTAACGAAACCGCTCCTAATATGTCAACGACTTCAGGGTAGAAACGAATTTCGAGTAAATTTTCTTGCATCGATTTGAAACTTGTTTGAATTTTGTACCCCATAGCAAATCCTGAATTTGTGATATTATTGATAGATGCTACGATGTCGATAAGTTTTTCATCCACATTGAATAGAGTATAATCTATATAATAATCTTTTTTATATTCATAAAAACACGTCATAATCCCGTACATTTTTTGATAACTATTCGCACTAAAAGTATTCTTTAAATTATATTCAAGAATTATTTTGTCATCATCTGTTCTTTTGAGCTGAGTGTCAAAAGCCAAAAACCAGGCGTCATTTCTAGATGCATTAAAATTAATTACAAAATCTGTTCCTCTATCACGGTATGATAAATGTCCAACGTAATTATTTTCTGTATAAATTTTCGCTTGTGCATGCGATTGTCCAACTTGTATAAACAAGTATTCTTTTTCAGCAGTATTTATTTTCAGTAAGGGATCTTTAGTGAACAAAGCACTTAAATTTAAAAGCATATTTAAGGAATTTGTTTCGTTCAATTGTATAGAAGTATTTATCAGACCTTGAGCATATGATGCTTTGAGATATATATTCGGATATACTTCAAATGATGTCCTAATTCTTAGTTCAAGAACTTTTGCTCTGTCAGGTGTAAAATATAATGAAACATCGTTTTCATTGTTAAGAATATTTGTTGTAAGGAATACATGATGAGTTTTGTTTGCAAATTGCTGCCCTTTAATTATAATAAACGTATCTTTTACACAATCTTCACATAGTTCAACCTCAGTTTTCACTTTTAATGAGAATAAACTGTCATCAATCAAATCTTTATTTACATCTACCATACCTATCAGAGCTTTAGCAAATTTCTCCGACAAATCATAGCTATATTGTGTGGAGATATCTATGCTTTTAGCATATAACATAGGCGATGTTGCATTGAAGTTTACTTTTAATATACCACTATGTGATAAATCCAGCGAAGAATCAATTTGGTGCTTATCTTTATGAAGTTTAGATGGCAATAGAAACAATGTCACTATTTTTATTTCGGATCTTAAATCATACATAAATCCAGAATGTATGGTTTCATAATTATCTAAGAAACTATCAAATTTAATATCGACCTTGCAGAAGTTTGCTCCTTCTAAGTGAACATCTGTAGATAAAGCTATAGTATTACCGTCTACTTCGCACTCAATTCCAGCCGATGAGACGTGATTTTTTTGCACCAAAAATATTTTACCTCTAACATTATTCCAATTAGTAGATGGACTACTGATTGTAAAATTGTATAAAACATCTTTAACATCTTTATGTGCGCTTGTTTCGATGCTATATATACTTTCATTTTTCACTAATAAAATATTCATATATTCAACATCATCATCATTTAATCCTGTGCCTAATTTTAAAATTACATTTTCACGATAATTTGAAAGCTTCGAATCCATTTCTAATAATGCTTCTTTATTGAAATTTGTAGTATTGTATATTCCATTCAAAACTAAGAAATCTTCTTTCAAACCTAAATCTATTCCAAAAGTATTTATCGCAGTTGTTATGTCGTACTGCACATCTAGATGTCCTTTCGGCAGCAAACTGGCACTTGTTTGAAAAGTGGTATTGAACTTAAATTTTTCTTTTAAAAATTCTAAATTCGTAGTAAACGCAGCTTTTTCATTGTTGTAATTCCAGAAAGATTCTAGTTTCAAATTTTGATGTCCCAGAGTCTCCAATTTCATATTCAAGTTTGGTAAATTAAATAGAGAATCATGAAGTAATATATCGGCAGAGTAAAGTTCATTTAAATACATAAATGATGATGATAAATCTACAAGTTTTGAATCTTTTGTCAATTTGAAAGCAGCATGACCTTTTTCTTCATCATAGTAAACATCAAATATTGACTCTAAATGTTTGAAACCGTTCACAGGTGTATCTATGCCTGTTGCAATTAACATTGCATTTTGTTTCAATTCATATTTAGCGTGCATTTGATATCTTTGAGTTGAATTTAATATTGCTGATAATTGGATTTCCGATGCATTTTTGTAAAGAACATTTATTCTGGTCAACTCATTGTCGGACAAATTTATGATTATGTTACCCATGATCATCGAACTATTTAAAGCAGCATCCGCATACAACTTTAAAACGTCTTTGTTCCATTTCACAATTAATTCTGATGTTTTAATATTCTGCTTTAAGTTATAATTGAACTCGATTTCGATAGGGTCAAAATTAGAAGATTCGGCAGATAATAAAAATATAAAGGTTTCATTAGAATTGACAAATTTTCCGCTGACATCGATACTTTCGTTATATTTTTTATCTACAATTGAAATTTTTGGTTCATTGACAATATCATCAGTAAAAAAACTGTAAAGAAGTTGAATGGATTCATCAGTGGAATCCATAATTTTAGAAGGTCTATCCCATTTTAAAATTAAATTTTTCAACTGGTAATGTTCAAGCGCATATGAAAATTCTAAGTTGTCATTCCATTCATTATATTTCCAAGCTGATATATGATTGAATGTTTCAAGTTTAAAGTCGGTAGATGAAACTATATCCAAATTATTTGATCCAATTTTTCCAGATGCTATTGCCTTCGAACTACCTGCAATTTTATCGTAGTCAAAGTAAATTTCTACATCACATTCATTGTTTGTACTAGAATCAATTATAATACGAAGAATTTTATCATTATTCTCGAACTCCATTTGAGTTTTGTGTTCTACGATAGAACCAGTCACTTCAAAAATATATTGATCATTCGTTGTGTTGAAATCGATATCCATTTCTTCGCGCATATGAAGAGTTGCTAGTAAAGTATCATTATTCCAAGCATACTTAACGAACCACTTCTTATGATCCTCATTAAAGTCTTTTTCCAACCTGGTTTTCAATATATGATTAGGTATTTCAAGATTTAAGCCCATATAACGTGATCTGTCCGAAGAGAACTCAAAATCCAGCGCACATCGTTTTTCGTCATCGTATATTACTTTGAATTTTTCCACCATTTCTCCTAAAAACTGATGTTCTAATAATACACTTAGCTTTGGCAAAAAAGTAGAACTAATGTCCACGGTGCCATCTATAGTATGGACATTAGGATGATTTATAAATGATCGTAAATAAAAATTTTCCTGCAATATTTGTATCTCAGTTGTAAAATAACTTCTGTAATGTTGAAAGTCGTAGTAGTAATTGAAAGCGTTTTGCTCGATGTATTTAAAAGGTGTAGTCATCAAGAAATCAGCTCGATGAGGTTCTTGTTCATATTTTATATAAACTTCTTCTTGAAACCATGACATTCGTCCTGATATTTCTGTTAAAGGTTTCGAAATTGAATATTTGTAAATTATATTTGATATTGTTTCTTTTGATCCGCTAATACTATACTCAGCATTACAATAATTTTGAGCTCGTTCAAATTTTCCTGTTATCTGATATGAATCTTTGTTATAGAACAGCTTGCAATTTGTTAGGACAAGTACGGAATCCGATTCACGATTTAATTTATTTGCAAAATCCAATGTTATATTCGGTACCGGATAAAAGGAACTCATCACATTAACGACAGTATTCAAATTTGACGCTGGAGAGTGATTACCAGTCGCGTTCAGTAATATAAAATTGTTCATCCATTCGAAATGCATCTAAAATACAACAACTTATTTAAAATACTGCTAACAATAGTTGATGTTTATAAAAAATAACTTTCCATACATTCAGGTCCATTACTCGTTTTCCGGCTCCCTTATATGACAGGTTTATCAAATGTTTTTTAAATATCGGAATTGTTGATTCCAGATGTAAACTAATTAAAGAGTTGTCTTGTTTCTCTTCATGAGATGTTACAAACGAAATCCATTGATTCTCATTCCAATAACCCATTATTTTTACTTTATTATCTCTAAAATAAACAATTTTAATTTAGACATAAATGCATCAGCTTTGTTTTCATATGACTGTTATACTCACTCAATTGTACTAATTCCGTCTATTTTTTGTCCGGGAAGTTCTAAACGAAAGCTCTGTTGCGCGGTGTCTAAATCAAGCAAAAAAATGCACTTATTTTCGGGGTTGTTGATCTTATCCCAGTGAAAAAGCATACTGAACTGTATGGTAGTGCTGGTATTTAAATTAAATAATGAGTAGATCCGCTTCTCTAAATCGAGATCCAATAATAATTTTTTATTTGGCCCCTTGAGTGCAAAAACCAGAGTATTTTCATAATGCCGGTTTGGTAGGTCCATAATGAGGGATATTTTATGTTCATGAATATTCGTATACAATAGTACAGCAGCATATTTATTTTTTTTATAATCTGCGCTGGCGCTACATTCAAAATGTTTATTTGATACTAATAGTTTTCCTTTCAACGTCCAAGGTTCTATTCGCTCGATGTTTCCCCCGCTTTGAGTAATATGCAATGTGATTGAATGTTCTAGTTTTGAGATATCGCTGAGGTCTGTATACGAACCAACAGCCTTGAAATTGATCTCTTCTTCTACGGCAAAACTCCGAATTGCTGAACCGGTAAATAATACACCATATTCGTTTCCTTTATGTGTCAAATGACCGTCCAAAGTCCACTTTCTCTTAGGTATCAAGAATTGCAGAAATACTCCTAAATCATTTGTTAAAGGATCTTTCAATATATTTACCTTGGCATATGCTCGATGCTCATCATTCAAACGGGCAATGCTGTGCGCTATAATTCCTTTAAAATTTGTTAGGTATTTCGCACTAACTAAATAATCGATATCCTTGCTCAAACAATTGAAAGCACATTTCGCTTCAAAGTCGTAGTATCCATCTAATATTTTCAATCGGTACAGTTGATGAGTTTTCCATATCACATCTCCAAGTCCCGCAACCGCGTTGTGCTCAATATATCCACGAGTTTTCTGAAATCCCCATGAAAATTCAATATGAGACTGTGGAAATTCGGTTGATTGTAATGAAAATGATATTCCCAACTTTTTAAGCATACCCGTTAATATATTTTCATATTTCAAATAAAGCGATACGCTGTGCAATTGTTGATTTTTAAAAATGTACGTCATAGAATTATTTACACAGTATATTGATGAAGTATAACTCAAAGAACCTTTCATATCACCCGATAATTCAGAACTTGCAAGGTTACCATTCCACGACCACTTATCCTTATCTCTATTGAGATCTCCTAAAAATGAAACTTTATCTTTCGTAAAACCTGATAAAGTAATAAAAGTGCTGTATCGATTTTTTTGAGTATATGCAATAAACCCATCAACTTCTGCAAAAATGCGATCAAAGTATTGTATGTTTATATTCGATGATATTTTATCGTCTTGGGTTGCAATACTTCCTTTAACGCCTAATATTCTTTTGTCATCTTCAGAAATTTCACTTTCAAGCGCCTTGTAAGCCACCGTATTGGTTAATTTTCCCACAAAATTGTACCTTTTGAATGGTGTATGGATTTTAGCGCTCGCATTCATGGCTTTTGGGAAGATTTTGTATCCGATATCTATATTTCTCTTTACATTAGAGTTTGGAGTGTTTATATATAAATTAAACATATGAACTGGTTCACTAGAAATTATTTTTGATTCTTTATGGTATTTGAATTCATAAGAATCAAAGTTGTCAACTTTTTTTAAATCCAATATATAACGAGCAGATCCAGTAAGCGGAAAATATGGTGCAATCAAAGAAGAAGAAGCATTTGGATAAGAAATATCATTACATAATTGCATTCCAGTAATAACAGCTGCCGTTTCAGATCCACAGCTATAAAATGTTTCTCTCTGAGAATGACCTTTAATAGGTTCATTTCCGGATGGACTTATTAAGTATATTTCTGAAGTAATTTTCACTAAATTCATTTTTTCTTTAGGAACTTTCAGTTTAATATCAACTAGTTTTCCCTCATCTAGACGTATTGAACCATCGATATACGAGTTTGAGTTCATAGATACATCCATTTTTAAACCAGATTTTGTAACAGAAGCATCCATCACCATAGTGCCAACAATGCGAATAGCAGCACTTGGAACAATATGACCGACTACATCCATTTTAAAATCTCTAAAATTTTCCACATCAACTTTGCCACCGATTTTCAAACCTACGGTACCGGTTGCATTCAACGAAAGCCTCAATGGGAATCCAATTATCGTAGGAATACTATAGGATGCGTCAAGTACACTAAATGATTTAACAAAATCTATATCCCTTCCTCGGAACAGTTTATATATCATGTCTTGAAATAAATCTTCTGTGTTAGACATATCTTGCAAATTATTGAAATTGAAATAATTTAGTTCGTTGCCAAATATTTTTGCATATATTGCGCCTTTCGGTACTCTTATTTTTTTATATTCACTTTTAGGTATGAAAGCTTCTATTTCATTGGTGTTGCCATCTGCTTTGATAACATTGAATATTTTCGATAGTGTTTCATCCGGATAATAGCCATCAGGGCTAAAAAGTTTTTCAAAAGTATCTTCCAGCCCTTCTGCTCTACCACCAATTTCTAATACATTCATAGTTTCACCAAATATATCAAGAGTCAAATTGACCATAGCAGACCTAGGTATATACGACTCAGGTGAAAAAATAACATTGCTCTCTAGTGCTCCACCAGCATTTAATAATTTCGAAAAAGATGAAAATTCGTAGTTCCTAGAATACTTTCTAAAATTTGTATCAAATTTCTTACGCAAACTTTCACTGGATAAGATGTATTTGATGTCTGTTTTCCAACGAGCCGAAGATTCTTGAATATTAGTCAAATGAGTCCATATAAAGGAACCCACTATAAAATGAAAAAAAAACTCAGTAGTATACTTGTCTATTTAAAATTTACTTTGTTATAATTTAATAACATATAACATTACCTTGGTTTGCCTTTTCAGCTAAAAGTACTCCACGTATCTTATATAAATCCTTGTTGGACAAACAGTTCATTGCAGCCAGATAGGAAGAAATTCTTACTTCAGTTGGTTCCGTTTTATTGGCAAGGGTATCGAGGAAAATTTTGGTTTCTTGCCATTTGCACGAAAATCGTCTATAAGCAGCCAAAGCCTGTACTCTGATTTCTACTGGCAAAGTGCTGGTCTAAACAAATTCTACGTTAATATAATTTATATTTTGAGATATTTATTATTTTAACTGAATAATTAAAAATATTATTAATATTGGAGATTAAAATGCACCTTATAGCAATTTGTCAAAGTTTTTGTGGAAACGGCATGTCCAGCATTTCCCAGCCCTTTTAATGCTAATATTATATCATTCTGTGACTGAAATGTTGATGCTCTGCAACTATCTCCCAAGTATTTCTCAATACTTTCCAATGCAGTTATGATAACATTTTCGTTCATACATTTTGTATTCATTTGGCAATATCTGTATATCATTGAAGATATTGATAGAATAGCATTTTTGTTGGAATGATCAAGCAAGGGCTAAAATATTTATATTTATGTATTTGATAAATGTTTTAAATATGAATTCAATAATATATTATGAGTTTTTAAAATATACGCACAGTAAGCATTTTTAAGGAATATAAAGTTGGATTACTACTGAATGATAAAAATGTTAGCCAAGAATTAAATTGACCTTCACTAAGTACTTCGTTACGTAATAATTCCATCATTGTCGCTACACTTTCATCAGTTTGGATTAGTTGCATGGCGTCTAAAATCATATGTCTGAAATATTATAATGCAACATGATTTCAATAGAAGTGGGATTGCAAATGCTGCTAATGAAACATTTAGATACCTTTCGGGATTTTGAGATTTGCCTATCACGGAAATCATATCAGCTTTATTAAGTGTTTTTAACGCGGTTACTAAGTTTGAAAATAAGGTGGTAGCCCGATCTTCAACACCTGTACTTGTTGCCTCTTTCATTTCTTCTAGTATATTAAAAATTTCCTCATTAGATACTTTAGGCAGTTTACTTATTGTTTCCTCGTAAAGCATTGTGGTTCTTGTTTCAATTGGCGCTGAAAATATACATGAAGCGTGAATTATTATATAAATATGAGCCATAAGCAAAAATAATATTTAATGTGTTTGAAATAAGAAATATATCTATTATTAAGTAAGCCATGATAATAATAAAGATTGGTTCCAAGTACTATCTAAGTTTATCATAATAAAAAACGGATTAAAATATTTGCCACAAAATTTTGTAGAACCGGTAGTATCGCAAATAAAATGCATGCACGCTATAAAACGCCATAACAATGGCGATGAAATATGATCATAAAATTGAATTGTTTGTGACTATTGGGCCAGCGGTGGCGATGTCGCTTAGAACGTGGGCTAGCACCAAATAGTCCCGGGTTCGCTGGTTTGATTCCCGCTACCGCCAAGCCTGACATCAGGCAACTTTAATATCAAATTTCCAGTTGAGATCATAGATGTCAAAAATAGCCTCAAGTAAAAACCACCTCTCGTGAGTATAGTTTCATACATATAATTAAAATGTCAGCAAATACTTCTAGTATAGATCATAGTTCGTGTCATAATTGGATTGGACAATTACTGGGTTGCCATCCATTCAAGATTTATATAATAAGAAAAGTCAAAACAGTTACTGAATGTCCTAAGTATGACAGATTGTAATTAAAATAAAAACAATAAAAAAGAAGGCAATGACTATTTGGAATGTTGAATAATCGTTTCATTACCTCACATTATTGATAATGATTCTGAATAAGACAATTTGTGGCGTTATTTTTAAAATAACGTAATTATTAACACGAGAATTACGGATGTTGGTTATATACCTAATATTTTTACTAACGAGAGCCAATTTGACTCATGCAAGAAAATGTCACTTTTTGAAAAAAATAGTTCCAAGCCAATTTAAATAAAATGTTTATTATCAAATCATTCATAGAAAACATTTTTTCTTTTGGTCAAGTACATTAACGCCATAATTAGTGCTATTATAATTTGGAACAAGTATTCATATTTTTTTTCATTGCAATTTCAATTTCAATTTTTAACTTCCCGTAGGGTAGGTTATAGTAATCGCAAAAAAGTCGAAAATGAAAATTTTCATATATCTTTACGTTTCAGAAGTTTCTGAACATTTTGGCATACCTTAAAAAATTGATGTATGTGTGTGTGTGCATGTGCGGATACAATTTTTCGTCAACGATTCCAAAAACTGAATTTTCGAAATTTAAATGATTCAAAAAACATTCAATTCCGATTAATAAGGAGATGTGCTGATTAGTTTCTGGCAAAGGCAGGTTTAGCCGTTCAAAAGATACGGGTCAAAAAGTGCCAAAAATGTTAATTGAATTTTTGAGAGAACGGAGCGTCCGATTTGAATGATTCAAAAAACATTTTATTTGTATTGACGAAATGAAGAACTGGTGAAACTTGGGGAGGCAGGTCTAGCGGTTTCGGAGATCCAATGAAAAAAGTAAAAAGAATGCCATTTAACGGACAAAAATGATCATTAGACATATGCACATCAAGTTATCACATATTTTATAGATATTTTAATAATAAGAACAAATTTTGATCACTTTTCTATAGGTTCCGTACCAATGTTTATTTGTTATACTGACGCGATCTTTCATTTCTACGCTAACGTATCGCGATTGCTTTAAAAAAATTCAAAACTTCCAAAATATTTCAAAGGTTAAAAAGAAATTCAATGTTTTGAAATTAAATTTTATTCAAAAATTTTAGAAATCTCGAAAATCTATTTTTTCAAAGTTCTAGAAAAATTGAATTTTTTTAAAAAAATTATTTTTTTGTACAGGAAGTTATAATTAGCCTTAAGGGAAGTTAGCAATTTGCCTTAAGGGATGACGCCATGCACCACTAGTTATTGCGTCAAATTGGCTCGGTCCGTAAATCTAGTGTTAAACTAATTACAATGACAATCAATTCAAGTTTAATAACATAATACCGAAATACCATGTATGTCTGGTATCTGTTTTAGTTTCAGTTCTTTCCGTAAAACTAAAGTCTGCTGTACGGTGGTAACGGCTCCCGCTTGTCCGTTACTGAACGGTCGCAGTTTGTGTTTTTCTTGACAAGATGAACTCACCACTCGCTGATTATCAAGGGTTTGAGTACAGTTATGGTGACTCCTATAGCACAAAAATCCATTATACACCTTATCTAATAATATAATTACATTCTTGATACTTACGATATGACGGGCTTAGAATTTGGACTTGCATAATTGATTGACGGAAGTGAGAAGATCGTCTTCTTTCTAGAAGAACATTGCGTTAAATCTTTGAAACGACGTACTATTAATAATCCGCCATGGATTTCTGTTATGTGAAATCGAGTGAAACAGTCTCCGGATACATCACGCTTAAAAATTAGTACGATATTTAAATTTAATAGTTATGTGGATCTATAGGCCAATTCTGCGGTACCCCAGTCGATAACATAGTGTTTTATGGCAACGCTATGTTATCCTTCCTTCTTGATAATAAAAACTGTGTAAATACTTATTTAATGCTGGCGTATTTAACATATGAACGAACCAAGAAAGAATGTTAAGATAACTTCATCTTTTTGATGCGCATTTATAACATACGGTTTTATGTGTAAAACGCCTAATCGTTCAGCAATTGATAGACATTTTCAATGTTTAAACAACGCTATGTTATCGGCGGTGTTACCGCAGAATTGGCTCCCCAATTGCTGTTAAAATACAATGATAATTATATTGCAGATAATACTAGATAATTTAAAATTACTTTAATCCTACTGCTTATTATGTAATAATAAAAAACTTTGATTAAATTACTTCTTATTATAATTAAATAAATTTATTTAATATTCATTTTGTAACAATCCAGCATTTTCCTTCAAGATACAATGCCAAATGCCAGTATTTTTGAGACTCGTCCGTGATTTATCGCGTCTACGGCGATCGCCGAATAGAAAAGCTGAAGTATTCTTTGAGAACAGATTATGTGAACTGATTGAAAGTATAAAGCTATCGTTTAATGCAAATAATGTTATTTCATGTTCAGCAATAGTTTTGCTTTTTATAATAAAATATCACATGATAAATTATTATTCAAACGGCCAACCTGCTGACAAAAACTGAAATGTTTAATACATATGTGTGTGTGTGTGCCCATAATTATGAAAGTGGTCTAAGTCAAAATTTATAAAAAAAAAATGAGTTTATCAGTTAATTCATACCACATTAGTTTAAACTAAATGTATTCAATGTAATTTTTACGAAATTGTCAAAAATGAACCATTAGATAGTGGTTGTAATTTCAACATTATATGGAATTCATTTAGTGTTAATTACGAAAGTGGTTTAAGTCAAAAATTTAAAGAAATTATATAAACATCTTGAAAATGGCACGTGGCCTTCTTTGACGCGTTTCTGAACATAGATAAACAAGTATAAATAGATAGCAAACTGGACCGCTTTTCGATTATTAACTTCCCGTAGGGTTAAGTTATTGTAATGGGCCGAAAATCGGAATTGAAAATTTTTACATTTCTCGACGTTTTGAAGGTTTCTGAACGTTTTGGCATACCTCAGAAAAAATGGATGTGTGTGTGTGTGTATGTATGTATGGATACAAATTTTCGCCCACGTTTTCGGCCGTACGGATCAACCGATCAACCGATTAGTTTTTGGCAAAGGCAGGTCCAACCGTTTCGGAGATACGGAGCAAAGAATGCAGAAAATAGAAATCGAATTTTTGAGAGAACGGAGTATCCGATTTGAATGATCTAAAAAACATTCAATTAGTAATGATTGGGAGAAATGTTTATCAGTTTTTGGCAAAGGCAGGCCCAGCCATTTTGAAGATACGGAGCTAAATATGTAAAAAATGGCAGTTTTTGAGAGAACTAAGCGTCCGATTTAAATGATTCAAAGAACTTTCTGCTTGTCTTAACAAAATAATTGATTTTGGAAAAAAAATTTTGTTCCATTTTTTTTTTTTTTTTTTTTAGTTTTTTGTATATCGAAAATATTTCAGATTTTATTTTTAATTCTGACTATAGTTCTAATATACTTTACAAATAATTTCAACTCTGCAATTCAGTTTATATAATTCTTATAAATATTAGACAATGTTACAATATTTATAATAATCTATTTGAAAACATTTCGTTACGGTACGGGAAGTTCCAGCAATTTGCCTTAAGGCACGATGCCATAATTGCCTCAAGACAGAATTCCACTTACAGCTAGTTTTAATTTTAATTTTCCGCTCCTGCTACAGAGGCGCGACGAGTGTAGCATGAAAATTTACCCCTAGGTTCAATTCTAGATAAATCCAAATCCTAAGGTTCAATTCTAAGATAAATTCATATATAATATTGTTACTATAAATCATTAGAAGATACAATAACAAGAAGAGTAAAAAATACCGCGGGCGAATCTGTCTCTTGGCTACAAATTCAATGGATGAGATGTTTATAAAATGTATTATAAAACTTCTTTAGATGATTCTACATTTCACGTTTTGGATCTTTCACCTGAAAGATGAAGACCAAAAATATACGGGAATATTAAATTACTTCCATTATGCACCAGCATTAGACCAGTATCGGAAGAAAAATATAGATATTATGAGTTTACTACCGTACATCCCTCCAGTTTTTCAGGAACATTTTAAAAATCTTAAATACTCGAAATAATGATAAAAATGGATTACCGTTTAAAAATGCTCACGAATTATTTCAATAAAATTATTGTTTCAAATAAAACTCAAAGTTCTTTATTGATTTAAGTCATTTATAGGACATTCAGTTAATTTTGAAAATGGTCTAATTGTAAGTCAATTCAAACTTTAAAAACAATATTATCGTATGAAATTCACACAAAATTTCATATTCATAATAAATTTCCATTAATTAAGACTAATAAAATTAAAAATTAAAATGTCGCATAATGTAAAAATATATTTTAATTTATTCAAATGCAATGCAATGCAAATGCAATATCTTGAAACAAGAAATATATGACTTAGACCACTTTCATAATTATGGGCACATATGATTACGATAAAACGATGTAAATTTGTGTAATCAGTTCATAAATCAGTGCAAACAAATTGCAATTATTTTATTCCTTATTTTAAATAATTATTACGGCATTCTGCCGTAAATAAGACCAATGTTATGGCAAGGCTATGTCACGTATCGCTTCTCATACAAAATGGTATGTACTAAATACAGTCAAAATGGAATGTATTTGCTGTGCGATCAGGCGTTTTACAAATAAAATGCAACTTCACTCATTTGTTATTATGCCACATTACAAAGATGCGGTTATGATAAAGTGCATTTGATGTTTATGCGTTCTCTACATTAGGCTTTCTATCTAAAACGCCTGACTGTATTTAGTATCATTTTGTATGAGAAGCGCTACGTAACATCGCCTTTCCATAATATTGGTGTATTTAAGGCAGAATCCGCCCCTAAATTTATTAATTAAAAAATCCATTAAAAATTATTTTTCTAACTTTTAAATTTTTAATTCATTCATTATTTTTAAATTCAAAAGTTTTCAATTGATATTAGTTAAGAATCGTGCTGATTAGTTTTGGTAAAGATAGGCCGAGCTTTACGACTTCATTAAATACAAATCTTAAATAGAGTAAAGATCTTTACCTCATGTGCAACATGACTCTGCCTCATGTCTCCTTTGCCTGTCTGAAGGGCCGACAGAACGCCCCTTTTAAAGTTGACTATCCAGGGCGATTCTACGTCACCCTCCGTGGGACACAAAGCCTCCACCGCGCCTCGATGCATCGAGAAGGCAAGTGGGTTCTCCGAGAGCGCTGCCCCCACGCTTTCTGCCAATTCTGGGTCTACGGAACCGCCTGGACTTGAAAATACCACATCTGATAGCTGTTGGGAAGGAAAGGCAGAACGATGAGCGCGAGTTGTGTCGGATAATAACATGACAACAACTTTAGATATTTCATTACACAAGTACTCTCAGTTTTAATGCACAACATGCAAATACAAAACATTTTTTGAATAAAAAGTTAGAACTCAAATACTTTCTGCGAAGTGGTATTCAGCGTAGCGTAGAGTATTAGACACAATAATACCTTGCCAATAGAGTTTTTGCAGTTTTGTACCTTTTGGTTAACATTTGAAAAATTGTCCATATAAATCAATTCTTATGTAAACTGATGTTTTTAGCGCAACCGAAATGTACGAAATCATCGTAAACTGTTGAAATTTTCGATTTGCTTGTTTTACTCCAGCGATTATTTATTAAATCATTTATTTATTATTGGGCATATGTTATTTTCTCAAAAATTGAAAAATAAATAGTCATGACAAGTTCAATCACCCCTCAATTCAATTCAATCACCCCTCAATTAAAAAAAATTTGCCACTCCTCCATCAACTACATCAATACAAATAACATATATCAAACAAACAACTATCTACTTATTGGGTGTTTGGAAAGTCACTTCGTTTTTTTAGACCCTTTGCTAAACGATTTTCGTATAACATACAAATGCTTCATTAAATTATACATTGACTATTAATGTTGAATATCTTTCGTAATATTTCTGGGAGTAGCAAAATTCGGGGATCATAAATTTTTAACTTCCCGTAGGGTAAGTTATAGTAATCGCAAAAAAATCGAAAATGAAAATTTTTATATATCTTTACGTTTCAGAGGTTTCTTAACATTTTGGCATACTTTAGAAAAAATGGATGTATGTGTGTGTGTATGTGTGTGTGTGTGTATGTGTGTGTGTGTGTGTATGTATGTATGTATGTACGTGTGTGTATGTATGTGCGGATACAAATTTTCGTCGACGATTTCGGGAACACGGATCAACCAATTTGAATAATTCAAAAAACATTCGATTCGTATTGATAAGGAGACGTGCTGATTAGTTTTTGGCGAAGACAGGTCCAGCCGTTCCAAAGATACGGGGCAAAAAGTGCCGAAAACGGTAACTCAGTTTTTAAGAGAACGGAGCGTCCGATTTTAATAATTCAAAAAACATTTGACTTGAATTGACAAGATGAAGAATTGATCAAATTTTCATGAGGACAGGTCTAGCGGTTTCGGAGATCTAACGAAAAAAGTAAAAAAAAATGCCATTTGGCGGTCAAAAATGATCATTAGACATATGCACATCAAATCATCAGATATTTTATAGAGATTTCAAAATAAGTATAAATTTTGTTTGCATTCCTATGGGTTCCGTACCAATATTTATTCGTGAGACGGCGACGCGGCGCTTACGCGCTTTGACATTTTGTCTCTATGCAGTTAAAGCAATACGATTGCTCTGAAAAAAGATCTTCCAAAATATGCCAAAATAAAGAAAACATTATTTTTTCCAAAAAAAATTAAAAAAAAAAAAAAAAATTAGATTTTTTTTTGAAAAATTTTTTTTTCAAAAAAAAGTAATTTTTTGTTTAATTTATAGTTTCTCAAAAATCTTATTTTTACGAAGTAAATTTGTTTTAAAAATGTCAATCGTTTTTAAAAAAATAATAATTTTTGGTACGGGAAGTTACAGCAATTTGCCTTAAGGCACGATGCCTTAATTGCCTTAAGACAGAATTCCACTTACAGCTAGTTTGGTGATTATTGGCAAAAAATAAATCAAAGTGCTTTTTGACCTCCTCATTTGAAGTAAATGTTTCACCGCCTAAGAATTCTTCTAGCGACCAGAACAAATAATAGTCCAATGACGCCAGGTCTGGATAATATGATGTGTTTAGTACCATTGTGTGTGTAGCATTCAAGCTGTAAGACCTTTTGGCGATTGACCAAACTTGTGTAAGGTCGCACGTCGTCTTGATGCAATACTACACCTTTTATGTAGAATCAGTTAGTTTATTCAGCTTATAACAGTAGACAATCGAATTAACCGTTATGTTATCCAGAAAAGCTGGAAAAACAATTTCCTCACAATTCCACCAGAAATACTATATCCCCTTTTCTGGCGAATATCGTCTTTGCAACTGTTTTGAGTCTTCTTCATTGTTTCATAAGAAATTGCACATAATGTATTGTGCAATAGGTAAAAACTTGCTTTAAAAACTGATCATTTTCATGACGTTTCAGAGGCGAATCCCAGACATCAATGCAGAGATACACGTTTCTTTCTATGAGAACCTGGGAAACTCATGCTTTGAACTTCGAGGAAATTTCCAGACCTTTAAATTGGCCATTAACTATTGAATTTGATGAATCTCTAAACTCAGTGCAACATCACATGTTGTTATTTGCCAGTTTGCATTAGTGCATTCTCGATATCAATACACTCGGAACAAAATTTAACAAACCTGTTCTATCAACACGTGTTTACCATACACATCGGTCAATCTCATTTTGGCTTAAACATCATTTTTACCTTTTCTATGGCAAAAGAGTAAATTAAGTCGAAAATGTTGCTTATTTCTTACCTTATTTAAAGTGGCACTTTTTAAAAACTACTACGTAATTAATTAGAATTTTTTACACACAAACCTTAATATAGAGTAGAGCGGGTCTGCTGGTAAAAAGGTCTACCACCAATGTCTCAAAATCAACTAAAGTTAGGAAGGCATAATAGAAAGTTGAGGAAAAAAGATGTATAACCAGCCATCACCTTGATTATTACGACGTTGCTATCAACGTTTGAAAATCTATAACAAAAGAATTTTCTCTCGTTGTTAGTATTTTTGGTTTTGCGCACTCTTGTTTAGTTTACGAGACCTTAATATAACTTTTAGGTATACGTTATTTAATTGTTTTATAAGATGTTATTTTTAAGTTAGATACATCAGTTTTTTTTATATAACCTCTATAAAAGTTTACATATGGGAGGGATAAAAATGACCAACTGAAACTTCACCCTGGAAAAGGTGTAAGCAATATGAAAATAGTAAATAAAACAGTAAATTAAGTTAAAAAAGCGATTTTGTAAGAAATAAATTGAATAAATAGTTTTTCCACTTTTGGTGATAAATACTTCTGATGAAATACCAAATCAAAGTTATATGCGGTGTAATTTTTGTAAAAAATATGCTCATGAAATTTTATTTTGCATTTGCTAAAAAATCAAGCCATTATTTCGTAAAATTCCTGCTGTTTGAAATACATGTTTTATTAGCACATTTTCTATAAAAATTGCACTGAACACTCCAGTGTCCACTTCTATTTGGAAATTTGTCAGAAGAATTCATTATCAGAGTTGGAAAAAGAAGTAATATAATTTATCTCTGTGAAACTGCCTTTTTAACTTAATTTACTTTTTACATTTTGTTTACACCTTTGTCAGTGTAAACTCTCAGTTGCTCCTTTTCACCATAACTACAAGTTAGCTTTTATAAAGAAAACTGTTGAATCTAACATAAAAATAACAATACATATTATTAAACAATTAAATACCGTATACTTTAAAATCATATACAAGTATCGTTTAGTAGACGTTTCGCTCGTGATAGCGGCATCGTTTGGATTTAGGGCAATGAATGGATACACATCTTGTGTCACCTACTTTAACACAGTAAAGTTGAAAAACTCTATACTTCACTTGTTTGTTGAGATAATGGTGATTGGAGGACCTTTTCACCGGCAGACTTTTAAGCTCCGCTCTGCTATATTTTATAAGCCATTAATGAATTGTTTGAACGTATTTTGAATCTAGAATGCATATAATAAACTAAATAAATTTAGTTGTATTTTGAGTCGTAGAGTAAATTTACCTGCAGAATGTATTCGCATGGTGCCGCGACATGTATGGTAGCTACGGCCGTGATGCGGAGCCGGCTGATTTCGTTGTTCCCTTCGATTCCGTTTATGAATGTGTCCGACTCCGCCGTGTAGCTGTACACGTAGCTCGACCCCGGACTGTAAATGTTAGTCCTCTCATTTTCTGAAAATTTAATTTAAACACTCAGTAATATTATTATACAAAAAAATCGAGTATCTCTGTAAATATAGGTAGAGCAGCTAGATGCTTGATGTAACAGTTTTTATTTTTAAATTAATATATCTTAAAATCCACTGATTATTTTTTCACAAAATAAAGAGATGGCTGGTTGCAGTAACTATTTCTCTATCGAATCAAGTAAAACTTAAAGCAAATTTCTGGAACTTCTCGTACCGTAATTAAACATTCGAGGCATGAAAATAATCAATAATTGTTTTTAATAATTTCAAATAGATTATTTATTATAAATACATACTGTAAATTTATAAGAGCTTATTAAATCGGACGACGAGCGTATTTTATAATCAACTTATGTGTAAGTTTACAAGAGTTTGAATATTTTTTAAATTTGATTTTTTTGATGATTTTAAGTTTTTTTCATTATTTTGAAGAAAATTTAAAATTTCGAAATTTTTTGGAATTATTGGAAAAATATATTTTTTAAGTTTTTTGAGAATTCGGAAATTTTTGAAAATACTCGATTTTTTTGAAAGTTTCGAAATATTCTCAAATTTTTGTAAGAAATCCATTTTTTTAATTTTAATATTTTTTTTAATTTTTCAAAATTTTGATTTATTTTTAAAATGATGAAAAAATTTAAAAATTTGAATTCGAATAATTTCGAATTTGAGTTTGAATTTGAAGCATCACTAGTTATATATTTTTACATGTGTACAAAATTATATCAATACTCGTAAGTTATTCACCAATTTTAATAAACAAATATTTCAAATCTTTGACTATATGATACTCAAACGCCTTCCAAAGTGATGGCTTGTTATACATATTTTTACCTACTATCAAATATTGTTAGAATTTTTTTCTAACTTGTCTTTGAGATATCGGTGGTGAACCTTTTTATTCGCGGATCTTTAAACCCCTACCCTATATATAAATAAATTGGTGTGTGTAAATCACTTATAGCCGTAAATAATTATAATAAATAAATTCAAAGATTATATTTTATAAAGATTATAAAATGGAAATTTTTTCTTACCTTTGCAATATGCAGCGCATTTGTGAATTTTCTGCGTTGGAACTGAAATAGAAAACAAACAAGTTGACAAAAGTTAAATATTAACGATATATCGATTTTATAATTGAAATGTCGTTTACTGATATAATATTCTTAGTATGTATCAGTTTGCAATAATGCCACAGAGTATCAAATAAAATTTAATAAACAAATAAAATTAAAGTGCGGAATCAACATTTTTAATTTTTCTCAGAATTGAATTGAATATAAAAATAAGTCAAATTAAAAATTTATCCATAATCGCTAAAATGTACATATTATGCTTTACGAAAATATGAACGTATATGTATATGTAAATGTATATTACATATATATATATATATATATATACACCTAAGTCTGTTTTTACACGGAGATTGGTTCCAGAAGAATCCGTGTAAAAAAAAAAACGTGTAAAAAAAGACATTGATCTTATACAAAAATGGGTGATTTGTTCCTAATCTCTAAAACCTATTAAAATTGGTGAAAAACAAGAATTTTTAAGAACAAGAATTAAATTAGTGCTATTCACATTTGCTTTGACCAGTAAAAATTGTTTGTACGCGCTAAAGGGGAATTCACTTAAATCTTTAAGCTAGTGTTCGCAAACTATCGATACTATCGATGGTTTCAGACTTTTTTTTCTTTCATAAATACTTTTTTGTGATATGAACATACTTCGCAAAAATTTAATTTGACAAAAAAAATTTAGGTACATAAAATTTCAAATCGTGCTAAATGGAATAAATTCGTGTAAAAAAATTAAAAATATTCAATTTTCAAACCGTGTTATATCAAAACCGTGTACAAAAAGACCGTGTAAAAACAGACTTAGGTGTATATATATATATATATATATATATATTTCAAAGTAACTAGCAGCCCATTCGTCGAAATAAAAAAGGTATAAAGTATAAAAACTTTTATTTATACGTTTCGACACAAGATGCGTGTCATCATTCAGCAACTACAACAATTTGAAAATTTTATTAACTAATATAAACAACAATAAAAATTAATTATAGCATAGAGAAACATTATACACACCACAGGACAAAAACACTCAACAAAAATTTATTTTAAAAAATTAAACTTAATAACATATTAGAGAAAAAAAAAAAAAAAAAAAAAACAACAATTTTTTTTTCTCTAATATGTTATTAAGTTTAATTTTTTAAAATAAATTTTTGTTGAGTGTTTTTGTCCTGTGGTGTGTATAATGTTTCTCTATGCTATAATTAATTTTTATTGTTGTTTATATTAGTTAATAAAATTTTCAAATTGTTGTAGTTGCTGAATGATGACACGCATCTTGTGTCGAAACGTATAAATAAAAGTTTTTATACTTTATACCTTTTTTATTTCGACGAATGGGCTGCTAGTTACTTTGAAATATGTTTCAACGTCGAAAAAACTATCAAGATATATATATATATATATATATATATATATATATAGATATAAAGAATGGGTAGTACTGCCCTAGGGCAGGTCCGTGAGCTGAGTTAAACTCCAACTCGATTATTGCTCGGAAGAAGTAGTGTGAGAGTTTTTCCCATTTCCATTTCACACCGCAGTACCCGAGATGGGCTAAATATATATATATATATATATATATATATATATATACATATATATTGTATGATTCTGAATTCGATGTTGACATATGTATTAACAAAGTCTAATAATCGGGCGTAACATCAATTAAAAACATGAATTTTTTTCAAAAATTTATTTTAAATCCATACGTTTCATTTTAACACACATTTTAAATCCTAGCCTTCATTCAGTGGAAACTAAAATAAAATTAAAAACTAAAACAATTGAATTGAAGAGAAAAGAAAAAATAAAATAGTAAATAGTACTTACAATTAGTTGATCTTAGTGTTAAATTGGAAAATTTTAATAATCCATGGTATCAGGATATGGTAATGCACTACACTATGTATTATAAACACTAACTTGAAATTACACAATATTTTCACAAAATACTAATTTTAAAAAATCACAAATGGATAGTGTGTTATTCGTAGACTGGTTAAAGATGTAATGGAAAAAGACCATTTTAAAAAATATTTTTACCAAGATTCTACACATGTGTAGAACGAATTGCGAATCCTTTGCGCAACGCTTTTATTGTTTTGTAAGAAATTTGGAAATGTTATCTAAATAGAAGAGATTTGTGTCGCACAGCGTGTTAAGTTCATTCCGTTTATTTATTGTCTTATTGTTATAAATAGTTAAGAAAGATCACTCTATAATTCTTCGTTTAAATAAATTTTATTCGAATTGTAGTACAGTCGGTTTAGAAAAGTCCATATTGTGTTTTAAGGTATAAATATGGTCTGCAAGTACAGTTTTGAATTGTTTTGGGTTTTTTGAATTGTTTTTATGTTGTTGTAACCGTTTATTCAAGTTCTGGCTAGTTTCACCTATGTAAATTAAATTAGAATCTAAACAATTTATTTGATAGACGAGATTTCTGAGTCGTTCGATATTAAAAGGGGTTTTTGTTTTGGTAAAAATAGTGCTAGTAGTTGTACTAAAATTGGTTACCAGTCGGAGTCCAGATTTATAAAAAAGTTTTTTTCCAAGGAACATACAATTCTTTAATGTATGGCAAACATATTACACCAGAATGAGTTTCTGAGTCAGGTAAATTGTTATGTACTGTGGAATTGTCCATTTTATTCAAAAGGTACGTTCGTCTGTTACTAGTTACGGAATTTATAAGTTTTAGGGGATAGGAGTTATCTGTTAGAATTTTTGTAATTAAATTGATGTTATTGTCCCAAAATGTTTTGTCCGATAGAAGTATTGCGTGGTCAGTTAGATTTATTATAGTACCTATTTTCATTTTGAGTGGATGATAAGAAAAGTAATTAAGGTAACGTCCAGAGTTAGTTGGTTTTTGGTACCAATTTGTTTTAGTTTGTTTTCGTAGTACGTATAAGTTTTATGTCTAAGAAACTTATCGAGTTCATTGTCTCCAATTCTACTGTAAATTTTAATTTTTTATTGACGTTATTAAATTATCAATTATCATAGTGACATCATCACTAGGGATACAAGTGATAATGTCATCTACATAACGGTAATGAAAAATATTTTATTGGAATTTTTAAAAATTATATTTTCAACAAGAAGTTGTAAAGATATTTCTGCTAGAGATGGACTTGCTGGGGACCCCATTGGCGCCCCAAAAATTTGATAATAGAAAGAGCCCATTGAATTCAAATAAGTGTTAGAGACAATGAACTTGACAGTTCCCTGAAC